AATATATACCCATAATTGTCGCTCGAAGCTCCGAGTTTTGACATGTTCATTCGAAGGACTGCTTCTACCATTTTGAACCATGACATCTTGCTTTATTCCAACGAAACATCCAACTTGCTTCGCTTCGAACAGTATCATCAAAATCTTCAGCCAACACCATGCCAACGCCAAATGTGCTTATCATTCGGACAGCCTGGGGCATGACACCAACAATTGTTAAGCCCTCAAAAATAAGATCCAAGATTTATTAGACTCTAAGGAGGTAGAATTCGACGCGCCCGAAAAGCCGAATGTGATCTCTGCCCCAATGCCAAAGCATGGTCACAATTCCCATGCTATTGAAGAGGATATGTATGTTGCTGCTGTTGATGACTTGATGACTCCATTACCAATAACCAAGATGAATCTGTTGAAAGCCAGGATTTTCCCAGGCTGTGAAAAAGATTGTTACCTTTGTTCGTCCCTACAATCCGACTGTTTGTTGTTGAAGTTAGGCATCCAACGCCTAATGGATAATCAAAAAATCCTCTTTGAGAAAACTCCTGTTACTCCAACCCCTGTCAAAGATGTTGCTACAATTACCATTTCCGCCAATCTTTCCAAGGTCTCCAAAAGACCTGTTAAGATTACATCCGATCCAAAGATTGTACCACTGAAGATTACTATGCCGAGGCCTATCCCATACAAGTCCAACAAATCAATACCGTGGAATTATGGAGGAGAGATCTTCTACCACGGTGTTAAGTAGATTGAATCAGTTGAAGAAAGTTCCGATGAAGAGACTCCTGACATAGGAAATATTGCTGGGATGAGTAAGATCACCCGCATCGGAAGAATTTTCTCTCCGGAGATTGCTCCTCCAAGGGCAACCTTAGGATCCTCAAATGCTCCTAAGGTTACTCCTGTGCCAGTCAACATCTCTGTGTGAATTCCTGTTATTGAAGAAATTGTTACTCCCGTAGTTGTACCCTCTGTTGTTGCTGCTGATAAAGGTATGAGGATCCAAGAAGCGCCCATCAGGATGAGGGATCAGCCTTTGGTCATCCCCGAGACCACTCAAAAGGAAATGGAGGAGATTTTAAAAATAATTAAGAAAAGCGACTATGATGTCGTAGAACAACTGGGGCAAACCCCTTCAAAAATCTCTATGCTGGCCCTATTGCTCTGTTCCGAAGCTCATGCCAAAGCCTTGATCAAATTCCTGAAGACGGCCCATGTGCCTCAAGAAACCTCCGCGGACCAGTTCCAAGAGTGTGTAGCTAGCCTAACAACCAACAATGTTCTTGGCTTCTCCGATGCCGATTTAACATCTAAGGGGAGAAAGCATAATGATGCGCTGCATGTCTCGGTGGAATACAGAGGGACTACTTTAGCTCATGTTCTGGTTGATATCGGTTCGTCTTTAAATGTCTTGCCGAAGAAAGCATTGGATATATTAGACTGTGAAGGTTTGACCCTAAAGCCCAGCAATATCATTGTTAGAGCCTTTGACGGTTCTAAAAGGATGGTCCACTGGGAGGTGGACATCCCAATTAAAGTGGGAACGGAAACTTTCAACTCCATGTTTTATGTGATGGACATCCGTCCCTCCTACTCTTGCTTGTTGGGAAGACCCTGGATCCACAACACTGGGGCCGTCACTTCTTCTCTGCACCAAATGCTCAAATACCCAGTCCAGGGGAAAATTATAACAGTTCATGGCGAGGAGGAGTATATGATAAGCCATCTTAATTCTTTCCGCTATGTGGAGTTAGATGGCGAATTCATAGAAACCCATTTCCAACACTTTGAAGAGGTTTCTCTTGAAGTTGCGGCAGCCAAGATAATGACTTCTGTACCTGCAGTTACCAAACCTGTGTCTCGGATGTCATCCCTTAAAGATGCGAAGGTTGTGATCGAGGAAGGGGGAAGAACAGTGTGGGGTCAGCTACCAGATTTTCCTTTCAAGACAGATAAGTTCGGCTTGGGTTTCACTGCTTCTGCTCAAAAGGTTGTGTGCCGCTCCCGGGCTGGAGGGCCACCATTGAAGATCACTCATCATGGAGTTCATGCTTTGGAGGATGGTGAAGATGAGAGCAACTTTGAAGACTGTCTTTTCCCGACTATTGGCGGAGGGCTGAACAACTGGGAGGCAAAGGACTTTGTTCCCATTACTTTCATAAATCAATAATTTACCTTTCGAACATTTATGTTGGTCTGTAATAATTCTTAAACAACTCGTACTCTTTTTGCCTTATGCCTTACCCGAGGCATATAGGTGTTGCACCCTAAAATTTGCCCTCCTAATTTCTTTTATTTTGGCTTAGACTTTTGCATCCATCTGCATCTATTTCATTAGGTCACTAACATGGCATACATTTCATTCAATATAGCTCTGAGGTTCAAAGTTCAGTGGTTGTGCGATACTAGGGTTTCATAGTGGTTAAGGCGCTCGTATCCAATAAAGGATGATTTCTTATTCATGCAGCAAGCTTTGGAATTAAGGTTCAAGGCTCATTTCTGGACTTCTTCTCCACTAAGTTACTGGGCTAATATCTTTTGTTGAACAACTGGTTGTAGGTCATTCTGGTCAAGAACTCTAGGACGTGACCTAGCATATGTGGGCTTCGAATCATGACGTCTTTTCCTATAAGTATGCTTGTCATTTGATTAGGACTAATGACTGTGACATGACAATCGTCTACTCCTCAGTTAATCAAATTAGGTTTTTGTTGAATCATGGTTCAAAGATGTTTTATCCGAATATTTCTCTGTGCGTCTAAACGAGGAATCAAGATTGTGAGGGTTTCACATTAAGGGAATTCTTCTGTGATTCAGACTTTATCATCCATCTGTAAGATGTTCCTTATGACACTAATCTCAAGTTGAAATAATCGATCGCTAAGGGCTGAGGATTGAATTGTGAAGCGTGGTTCATGACCTAAGATATGAATTCATAGATTTCTCCTTAACCAAGGCAATCATTGTCCTCATCATTATCATTTGTTATCTGCGATGTGAGTAGGTTTGGATTGAAGTAGGTTTCCCATAGAAGAATTCATGCAAGGTAATTCAAGTTTCAAGGCATTCAAGGCAGGGTTTGTTCAACATGGCATACCTGGTTGATGGGCTTACAAGCTCTTATGAGACCTTGAGATGCATAATCATGGGTCAATTTCAAAGATATGTGGATAAGATCTGTTGACTTCGGTTAAAGTAAGCTTTGAAAAATTAACTTTGGGACCAAGGTCTCCCTTGAATTTTCATCTAATATGTGTTAGGAATTCGAGTTGCATTTGAAGAATAGTATGGTAAAGGAAAAGAAATATTGGTTCAGAAAAGGAAGATTTCATTAAAAATCAGGGTTTCTATTCATTGATAAATGTTCAAGTAATTGAAGATCAGGGGAAATAAGGTTTCATATTAATCTTGATCATATTCTTTCATTATCATTTACATCCATCTTTGATGATTTAAGGTCATCAATTAGGGAAGGACTTTGTCAAGATGAGATACTTGTGGATTGAATCGTGGAATATGAGGCATGATACGAAAGGCAAGGTTGTGATTTTTTTAGGATCAAGATCTTATTGACTATTCAAATTATTTGTCATTCAAGTTGATTTGGGTTCAAGATTGAAGTTAGGAGTTCATTGAGAATGCAAGTGTGATTTGGATTTGAAGTTTGATTTGAGTTCAAGATGTTCGAAAGTGTTTGATTGGATTAAAGTTGGCAAAGAGCCTTAAGTATTGGTCATATGAGTTTCTTGGAAGGTAAAGTACAGACTGCGAGGTCTTGTTTCAAGTCGGAGTTCATACGCATTACAAAGACGTTCATCGTTATTCCAGATTCAAGTTGACATGTGTTCAAAGTTTATTCGAACCCTTTCATTCATGATTCAAGAAAATACTATCCAATTCCATTCAATTTCATTCAAGTATAACAATACCTTACAAGAAAATTTGATGCTTTCATATCTTAAAGCATTTTTTCAAGACTTTGTCATTTAAACTCCATCCAAAAAAATCCATCACCCGACATTTCAAGCTCAAAGTCATTAATAATTCACACTATAAAATACACTTGAACAAAATTCTTTAGTCCTAAAGGTGCTAAAACTCCATGAGTAAACTTCTAATTCCATGCCATGCCAAAGTTCTTCATCTTCAGTTCATGACCTGCACATTCATACAAAAAAAATCCACGTCAATACAAGCAATCATGCCAAAATATCCTATGCTCATACAAATTATTCGAAACATGAAAAACCATTAATTAACCCAAACCAAATGCTGCGCCATCCTTCTCTAATTCCTTTTTCTTTTCACATAACAAAGCTGAGCCGGTTTACGAAAACCGCCACCGGTTCTGTAGCTCGTCCGCTTTTGGACAGGTAGATCCGATCTAAAACCCTAGCCTCAGCCTCATATTCGGTTAGTTTTCCATCTCTGCGTTTTCTTTGTTTTTGGGAGCATGGGACAGTTGCTTCCAAATTCAAACGAAGAATTACGTACAACGGACGAGGATGCTGAAATCAGTGATTTGCAGTTAATATATCACGTTAGAGATGCCCTTCTTGAAGTCACAAATGGTAGAGAGAACTATGAAGAGCTTGTTGGGTGTTTGCAGCCTAAAAGGAATCTTAATTCTCATGAAGCTGCTCAACTTGTGACAATTTTGAAAGCCCTTGCTGGAGTAGTGTCCTACATAGACTCTGTCCATCATGGAACTCTTATTTTTGCTCTTGAGAGAATGAGCTTGTAGAATTTGGCTACAACGTATAAGAATTATGATGCGACTGATATCATGGATGCTTTGATTGAGCTTCTCGTATCATTGGCTGCTTAGAAGGGAATGTATATTGATTTGTGTTTGGAGAGGCTTGTGAGGCATTTTACTGCACCTAAACATGTCATGGATTTTCTGAAAAAATGAAAATGGAGTTGACAGAAAGAATAAGGTTCTGTCTCGGGTGCATGATGCTCTGAAACAAATAGCTGATTTGGTTCCCCTTGCTCCCATGCGATTATCGCCAATAGTTGTCCAGAATATACCAAAACGTTACGATGTGACAGTGCATGAGATTGTCATGTATGTTGAAAATATGTTAAAGCTTGAGAGTGGTTCAATTGGAGAAATTGTTGGTAGTACCATGCTACCCGCACTTGTGGATAAATTGATAGAGTTGGATGTGGAGATTGGATTGGATGGCAAGATACATGAGGATGCTAAATGCATATTTGAAATGGAGTTAGAGGATATTGTTAATTTTGCAGCAGATGATGATGAGAACTATAATAGTATGTGTGTCTCAGAGATGTTAAATAGAAAAAACTTGCAAGGCAATAAGGTTGTGGAGAAATTAGATAGCCTAATTGTGCTGACTTTTTTGCATCTTGATTCCTGTCAAAGTAGTGGCCGGTTGTCTGAGGTATTTGATACATTACTGACGTCATTTAAGAGAACTGTGATGAATACATACAAGTCAAAGTTTACTCAGTTTGTGATGTTCTATGTTTGTGCATTGGATCCTGAACTATGTGGTGTGAAATTTGCTATTGTTCTCAGAGATATGTTTGAATCACCTGTTAATCCCCCTATTACTAGGATGAGTGTTGTTGCTTATCTTGCTAGCTATTTATCTCGTGCAAAGTTTCTTTCATCTGCTTTGGTTGCTGACATCATACAAAGATTGGTAGATTGGTGTTTTGCATATTGCAAGATACATGATTTAGATATGAACCCGCAAGCTCACCAAGTGTTTTATTCTGGGTGCCAGGCTGTCATGTACATTTTGTGCTTCCGCATGAAATCATTGATGAATGTACCTAGGCTTAGAATGCAGCTCATCAAAATGCCAATGTTGCTACTTTGGAAACATAAATTGAATCCCTTGAAGGTATGTTTGCCTAGTGTAGTAGAGGAATTTCTTAAACAGGAAAAGGCTGCTCGGCTTTTCATGTCAGCAGAGTTATTTGTGTTTGAAGATTTGCTCGAGGCTGATCTTTCCAAGGCTTTTGGTGGGATGGATAGACTCGACATGTTCTTCCCATTTGATCCATGTTTGTTGAAGAAAAGTGAAGGCTACCTAAGACCACACTTTGTCCGCTGGTCAAGAGTCAGAACTACATATGACGACGAGGAAGACAATGATTCTGGAAGTAAAGCATCAGACGACGAATTTGTTGACTTAAATGCAAAGGATATGATGGTTGATGATGATATGATATGCAGTGTTGCAGCAGGCCTTGATTTTGACCCCGACTTGAACAAAATGTCTATCACACCCAAATCGTTCAAATATGGGTTTAAGGAATAGATGGAGCGGGGCCACGAGAATGCTGTCGAAATTTAGACTATCCACTAGTCCAACGTCTTTGTTTTAGGCTTGTCGTCAAAGCCAGTCAATTTTGCAAAGTTTTAGGCCAACCCACTCCTTTCACTACCACCTGTCGAATGTGCTAACTCAGAACATGATTCCATCTCTCCTCTGGCAGTGTGTGTAATCAAGCTACAAAAGGCATTTACCCGGATTTTTCTCTTGAAGCCATACTTATGAGCGCACCTCCTATTTCCATTTTCTTAATGGATCAGGAAAGGCTTCGTAATTTTATCATTTGGGCAATTACAACGGCGTTAGCGTCAGATTCTGCACAAATGCTGAGGTCTAACGAGTCTCGCATTTTTGTCAACGAAAAAAAGAACTAGGAAAATAGTCTCGTGATGACTCCTTAGTTTCGAAATTTTTGCGTTGGTTAACAGCATCAGTAATCAATGGGAAGCTTCATCAAAAATCTAATGATATATATTCAAGTTTTACAGAAACACATAAGCTAGAATCCTTGCATTCTTTACTGGTACATGTAGAAAATACCTCAGAGCAAAGACAGATTCAGATGATTACTGCTTTACTTATCCAATTCATTATAGTGCTAACCTTCCTGATTCTTTAAGACAAGCATCGAGTAGTAATTCTGTATTGGAAATCCCGGTTGATGCTAGTTATCAAGCTAAATTCCGCGATGCAGTAACAGAAGCCTGCTCCTATTTTTGAACCCGTGTACTTCAGCGACTTGCAAGTGTAAAGACTCAGAATGCTTCTGAATTGAAATCCACAATGGAGAATCTTGTTACTGATTTATTGACCACTCTAAATTTACCTGAATATCCTGCTTCAGCTTCTATTCTAGAGGTTCTATGTGCCATACTAATTCAGAATGCTGGGACAAGTTCCAAGGATTTTGCTTCACGTTCCATGGCAATTGATATTCTTGGCACTATTGCGGCAAGGTTGAAGCATGATGCTGTGATTTGTAGCCAGGAAAAGTTTTGGGTACTTCAAGATTTACTTAGTAAGGATGCTGCTCCTCAGAATTATCCGAAAGATACATGTTGTGCCTGTTTGGGTGGAAGGGCTGAAAATTTGTTCCCATGTTCCGGCTGCAATAGGCTTTTTCATGCTGAATGCCTGGACATTGAAGAAGATGAAGTTCTCAATCAGAACTGGTACTGTCACATGTGCATCTGCTCAAAGCAACTGGCTGCTGAAGGAATCATTTGAAGGACAGAAGCTTGAAGAATGGGAAACAGAAGATTAATTAACAACTCTCTAACTACCTCCAAACAGAATTCCCAACTAGCATAACCACCTTGTAACCAACTCTCAATCTCACCCTTCAATCCCTAACAAACTCTATCCAAATCAATGGTTCAGATTGATTCCCACATAACCGTTTCCTCCCTCAATTACCTATATAATCCAAACTCCCTCCAAGTTTGAGGGGACGACGATACTTTCTCTTTTCCAGTTTCAAACTTCATCCTCTCTCCACTATTTTTTTTCTATCCTCTCCCATCAACACGCTTCATTTTTCACCCAGAACTCAAAAAGTTTTCGGAATTCTCTCTCTTTCTTCTCTAACCAATACTCTTCACCCTTCAAGCCACTCTTCATTTTTACTTACTTCTGAAACCCTGCTTCATCTTCATCAAATCATCTCTCTGTAAACTCAAATCACACTCCTACGATCTCACTCAAACACAACTCACAACGACAACCGCAACAACACCAACATACAAATCATTAAAAAAATCGCGCAAACGCATAGCACAATAATTTTCACAAAAGAAATAGAAGAAAAAGAAGAAGAAGTCGTGCAAAGAAGTTAAGAGATATTGTACCTGAAACTTCTTCAGATTTTTCGTTGTCGGCATCACCCTCGAAGAGACACTGGGTGCCTTCTCCGGTTGGTAAGCCTTCTTCAATCTTTCATTCTACATTTTATGCTCTTTGTCAAAGAATGAAACTTGAATTTTAGTCCGCGAAGAGGTTGATGGAAGAGAGACGTGTGAACCGAGGCGAATCAAAAACGAACAATGAAGATAGGAGCAAAGGTTTGAGATACGAGTGAATTGTGAAACCAAAGTAGAAAGAACGAGTCGGAGGTGTGATTCGGCACCATTGAGGGAAGAGGAAGAGGACTTTGTTTCTCTTGAAGTCTAACCGTCACACGATTTGGGAATCCTGGGAACAAAATCACGCCATTCATTTGTTTGTTGTGTTTTTCTAATTCCTTTTTATTGATAACAGTGGAGATACACGAAGCTGAATAAAAGGTGGATGGATCTTGGTATGATCTTAGTGGACCGAGGTATACACCATTCAGGTCCATGGCCATTATTTTCGGGAGTTGGTTTTTGGTGAGGTATAAAATATTGGGTTGGGCCTGCGAGTCAATGTTACTAAAATACACACCCTGCTTCAGGCCCACATACCCCTGTGTAAAGTTTTTCTAGCTTTTCTTTAGCCTTTTCTTTTCATAGTCGTTAGATAACAATTTTGTTAATAAAAATATTGATATAATAAAAACCTAAAAAATGTTAGATTGTAAGAGATATTTTTTAGAAATTAATTCTTGATTATCCGATTACTCGAGACTCGTGATTCACTTTTGTTTTTGGAGATTTGAGTCTTATGCATGCTTATTGTGTGATATACGGATATGCTTGAGGTTCCGATTGTGATTTATTTTCACATCAATGATGCTTCAACACTTATTCCGAGCATTGGATTTCTAATTCTTTTCTTTGTTGATGTTAGCAGCTCATGAGATCATCAAGTTTCTTTGCTTTTTACTTTGCTCTACGAGCTAGTACTCGTTTGGTATATTTTATTTCCACTCTCACCCCGCATTTATCACTTCCCATAGATTGCATGGTATGATAACATTAGATTTAGAAATAGGCTAGTCTTCCTGTGACCTTCGTCTTCCTGTGACTTTCGTCTTCCTGTGACTTTCGTCTTCCTGTGACTTTCGTCTTCCTGTGACTTTCGTCTTCCTGTGACTTTCGTCTTCCTTTGCATATGCAGTTAAAACAAAAAACTTTTTTTGCAAACTTCAAAAATACATAAAAATTTACTGACAAAAAACCATGTCTTTGCTAAGTTTGAGAGATGATGAGCGGGTTTCTTCTCGACATTATTATTCTCTTGTTCTAAGCTTTGGTATGATTCAAGTCTCAAAGACTCATTTCATGAATAAATAGAGAAATGGCTAAAATCTCTCTCTTGAAGTTAACTAGCTATTATCTACAAGCAAAAACACCAACAAACATAAAAATCTTTTTGCCCTCGGGCCTTTCTTTCAAACCCTTTTCAAAAGAGCGTATTAATTCACTTCTGTGCTGACGCGTAAATCTCCAAAGGTCGAGTTGCGGCAGAAGGCGAGATTAATATTGTTCGTTAAAGAAAATACAAACAAACAAAAACATATAAGCCGAACTACGGCTGCTCTGATTCCTTAAAACGGATACGTAGGCATCGGGGTAGGGCCCGAACGAGCACAATTTTATTTTCCCTACATTCTTTCCTCCTTTTCTTTTGCATGCACTTTCCCTTTAGCAATAATAGACAGTAAGCATAGATTAAACACACCCATAAGATAGACAATAAGAGTGGATACCATAGAGTACTACAGGCGTGTGGGGTGCTAATACCTTCCCCTCGCGTAACAGACTCCCTTACCCTTATCTCTTGGTCGTTCGACCTTGATTTCATCCTTCTCGGGTTTTCTCGATGTTTACCTTTCCCTTCATGTGGGATAAAAGACGTTCGATGGCGACTTCATTGTTTGATGATTTTCAGTCGGTTGTTTCAGCTGGCGACTTCACTGGGGACAGGTCGACTAAATGCTGGTCCATCCCGGAGTCGCTCCTAGCTCTTGCTTTCTTTTCTTTGGGTGTCTATTTTTATGCTTTCAGTTTACTCATTTGTACATGTTTGCCTGAGCATAAGTTTGCATTGCATTTTATTGCTTTCTCTATTTGTTATCTATTATGCTAGACTCTGTTTTCCATGTTGGGTGGGGATGTTACTATTGAGGTAAAAGGCCCAGTACCCAGGCCAGAGTGCACTAGGACACCTAGGAATAGAGTGGGGGCATGACGGCTATAGGACATGGTCCGATTAGTGCAGTCATGTCATATACCACGCTCGGATGAGGTTCAATTGAAAGTACTTTCATCATGCACGTCTGTGTTGCGATGATTTTACTTTCAGGCGGACCCGTGATTTTCGAGTTACCATTGTCTTACCCTGACCTAGTCTTCACCCGTGAGGGGGAGGGATTTGTCATTACAGGTACAGTTGGTGACTATGTTCAAATGGTTACTTGTGCTCAGTTGGTGACTATGTTCTGATAGTGACTGTTGTTCTGTTGGTGACTATATGGGTCTCAGATTTATTTATTTTTTCTGGATTCGGTATTCAGGATGGTTATCTAGTTATGTTCCGGACCTTTGATCCTGCTATATTTTACTTGGTCAGAGATTATACAACGGTTAATCATGGTACTTAGTTCCATTGTATGCTGAATTTGGTTATGAACCTTTGATCCTGTGATATCCATATTATTCAGCAGATTTATACAGCAGTTATCCAGAGGATTGTACAATTGTTATGCTGAACTTTTGAACTTATGTCATCGCACCTTGCATCATAACATGTTTATTTTACACAAAAAAGGAAAGGTGAAAGATTATAAAAAAAATAAAAAAAATGTGTTTGAACATGGCATTGCATCCGCTCATTCACCTCATGCATCCATAGCAGGTACTCCGAAGGTATTCAGAAATGGGGAGTCCTTATTCAGACTCGGTATTTTCTTTTCAGAGCTGCAAATCTTGACTTCTCGTCGCTTCGTGGTCAGATTCAAGATATGGAACAACTTCGTGGGGAATTGGACGAGATGAAAGAACAGATGGGATTCGTGGTACTAGACATGCAGGATTTGGTCCGTGGACAAGAACTCCTGAAAGAAGAGAACACTCAGTTGAAGACTCAATTGAATTTGGTTATGGAAATTTTGGGGACAATGTTGAAGAAAGA